AAGTGGACTCAATTTGCACTATTTCTGGCAGTCTGCAAAGGCCCACACCCTCGCCCCTTGGATGACCTCGGCTTAGGTCTTGTCCTACCTCACAGGGTTGTTGTGAGAAGCGTACGCAGATCCCCCTCAAGCAGCCTCCAATTATATGGATGGGGACAGAAGATGATCAGAGGTGTATCTACGGAGTCGGCTGGGGGCAAAATGGAACCTTTTGTAATGAACCCACAAAATAAGAAGTTTTTTTTTTTCTCCCTTCAGTCCCCAAATTGCTAGCTTTGCAGTAACTTTAAAAGTCAGTTGAGAAATGCCCAGAATTAGAAACAAAATTTCGGCAGGCAAAGGGACTGCGAGCACAGCAGATAGGAAGGGATGTTGTAGCCCCTTTGAGAGTGTAGGAAGTTTATAGGAGATTTCGCAGATCCCTTTGTATACTACTGATACACTGCTATAAGTCTTTGAGGAAGGCAGCAAAGGGGGTTGCAGACTGCTAGAAATAGTGCAAATTGAGTCCACTTTAAGAGTTAGGATTAGTGCTAGGGAATCATGGGAATTGTTGCTGTTTTTTCTGAGACATTGAGCCTTCTCTGTCAGAGAGCTCTGGTGCCACAATAAAATACAGTTCACATGATTCCCTAACCCTTAAAGTGGACTCAATTTGCCCTATTTCTGGCAGTCTGCAACCCCCCCTTATACTCCCTAGTAAAGTAAAACCGCGACTGTGAAGTGGGGTTTACTAAGGGGAATGAGTAAAGGATGGGCAACAAGCGTGGTGTAGTGGTTAGAACATTGGACTACGACTCTGGAGACCAGGGTTCGAATCCCGGCTCGGGCACAGAAACCCACACTCTCTCAGCCTCAAAAGAAGGCGGTTTCTCTGGAGAAACTTGCCAAGAAAACCTCATGATAGCGTGGCCTTAGGGTCTCCATAACTCACACTTGGGCAAGTCACACTCTCTCATCCTCAGAGGAAGGCGGTTTCTCTGACAAAACCTGCCAAGAAAACCCCTTGATAAGTTACACTTGGTCAAGTCACACTCTCTCAGCCTCAAAGGAAGGCCGTTTCTGTGAGGAAACTTACCAAGAAAACCCCATGATACGGTCGCCATGAGTCGGAAACTACTTGAAAGCACACAACAACAAGGGGAGTAAGCCCCACTTGACCCCATGGGGAGGAAGGAGGCTTTTCTTCTGAGAAAACTCCATAGTCGCGGTTTAACTTGAGCCGGATCGGAGCCACGGATTATCCTCTGAGATCTCAGAGGGCTATAAATTTCCCTATTTCGGGGGAAAGAAAGAAGGAGATGTGGAATCAGGGTGGTAGCAGAGAGCGGCACTGCAGAAGTAATCCGATTTGGCATCGCTTTAGCTGCCCTGGCTCAATGCTATGGGATTCTGGGAATTGTAGTTTGTTGTGGCTCCAGAACGGAGGAACAAGCTACAATTCCCAGAATTCCATAGCACTGAGCCAAGGCAGTTAGAGCTGTGTCAAACCGGATTATTTCTGCAGTGCAGATAGGCTCTGGGTGGGTCGCTCGGGGGGCCCCGGTCTACCCCTTCCTTCCCATTCAGGGCAGGGTTTTGATGCGATTCATTAGAAGTAACGAGTTGACATAAGGTAAATCGGGATTGAGAGGGGCTTTCTTCGAGGCTGCGGCCGGAGCTTCATTAAGAATGTCTAACAAGGCGTGCAATGGCTCTGATTGGGCATCTTTCTTCCAACGGAGGGGATTTTTAGCAGAATGTTTCCCCCTAACAAGAATCCCCACCAGCCATTGATAAGAGGTTCTCCCCCTTCTCTCCCTTCCCTGCACTCCATATATATATATATATATATATATATATATATATATATATATATATATATATATATATATATATATATATATATAATAAAAAAAATACCCTGGCACTCAGGATCTGTACACACAAAAAAAAAAAAATGATGGAAATCATAGACTTGTTTGGGGATATTATTTTGTTTTGTTTTGCTTTCCAGTCCGGAGAAAGTATTTTCTTCCTGGGTTTAAGGAGATAGGACTCTTTTTTGCCTTGCCTTACTGTCTCCATAAGTCGGGAGTGACTTGAAGGCACACAACAACAACAACAATTTGGGGTCGAGCCAGTGTAGTGTAGTGAGTGGCTTGAGTGTTGGTTGGACCAGGGTTCGAATCCCCGCTCAGCTATGGAAACCCACTGGGTGGCTTTGGGCAAGTCACACTCTCTCAGCCTCAATGAGACTGGGCAATGGTGAACAAACCTGCATGAGCGTCGCCACAAGTCAACAGCAACACATTTAAGTGGGACCAAACAGTCACCCAAGACTTTCTCTCCGGAGTTTGTAAAGGAGAATGAAAACCTGGACTTGGACGAACGGTGTCCAGTCCAAATCCAGTCCTTTGAGATTTTACTCGGGACCACTATCAGAGCCAGCGTGGCCTAGTGGTTTCAGCATTGGACTACGACTCTGGAGACCAGGGTTCGAATCTCGGCTGGGCCCTGTAAAACCTCTGGGTGACCTTGGGCAAGTCACACTCTCTCAACCTCCAGGAAAGCCATGGCAACCCCCCTCTGAAGAAACATGCTAAGAAAAACCCATGATAGGTTCGCCTTAGGGTTGCCATAAGTCGGAAACGGCTTGAAGGCACACAACAAGAACAAAAGGACCACTAAACCCACCAGGGGAGGGAGTCTTGCTGGTGTTCCCTGTATTATGGAGGTAAACCACACAGAGAGAAGGTGCGGAGGGGTCTCTATAGGTCGTGGCCCCTGTTTTGTGGCCTCCTTCCACGCACAGAAGACCCAGGGACGATTTTCCCGAAAGAACCAACGCCTATGCCATCCAGAGAGCATGGGCCAATCTATTCTCCGACCTATTCCGCTCTAAGGCACGGTCCGGACATGAAATCCAAGACCGCGATGAGACCGATTGGTGCCTCCTGAGCCCACTTTGCTCCGACCTCAGCCCAAATGCATTCAGTGGCATTTACTCCCAGCCAAATGTTTACAAAAGTCCTCTTAAAATACTGTTGTTTTGCAGTCCAGAATCTCCCCCCTCCAATATAATCTACTATTATGCTTAGATTAATAAACTGTATTAATGTACAGTATACGGTATTATATGTTGCTGTTATTGTTATGTGCCTTCAAGTTGTTCCCAACTTATGGCGACCCTATCACTGGGTTTTCTGGGTCTAAGAGAGTGTACTTTTCATCATCATCATCATTATGATTATCATTATAATCATCATTATTATTAATATCTCGCCTTTCTCCCAATATAAGGACTCAAGGCGGCGATATATGTGTGGATGGATATAGAGAAAGATATACCTATGGTCCACAGACTAGGTGTGCATATTTTATATACGTGTATATTAAAGGCATTAGATCCTGGCTGATTTTGGAAGTTAAACAGGGTCTGCCCTGGTTAATATTTGGATGGAAGACCTCCAAGGCTATATTTCAGAGGAAAGAGCTGGCAAAGCCACCTCTGAGTCTTCCTACAACCCTATGAATTTCATGGAGTCGCCATAAGTCAAGAGGAGACTTGAAGGAGCATACATGCACACACACTTTATACACCTAAAGGATAAAGAATGGACCAAAATACGCATAATATTTACATGAAGAATATAATGGTGTGTGTATGATAACAGGTAATATTTACATGTTCATATATGTATATGTATATATGTATATGTGTATATATATATATATATAT